GGAGGCGGGCGGCTTCTAAGCAAGGCAGCTCATTGAGCAAGACCTGGCTTCGTTGGCAAGGGACCCAGGTTTCTCCTCACAGTTCCCCAAACAAGTGACACAGGCATTATGGAGCACTGTGGGAGGATTTCCGTACTAGCCGGGTTCCACTTCTAAGTCCGATTCACTGATTATGTTTGCGCGCGTGCAAGTGCGTGTGCGTGCAAGTGCGTGTGTGCACTTGTGCCCTTGGGTATTTCCATCCACTTTACTCCACTTCTGCCATTGCTTGCAACAGGAGCTAGAGTTGCAACTGGAGCTCTGTTGTTGCTGAAATAAAAAGTCGGCTGAAGGTGCCCAGTAGGGAAATTGTGGGGAGAAGTTAAAAGTAGGTGTAAAATATCAGGGCCCCACGGGATCATGCCATTTGGAAAACTGGAGCATTGTGCAACGTGCTGCGCTGATCAGTGGTGTTCAGACCTGGTAAACTGGCACGGAGCGTTTGCCCTATAAACCAGGAATGTTAGGGAGAGGCCGGGCAGGGAGTTGGAGGTAGACCCAGCTCCTCCTGCCTTAGCTTTCAGAATGCTGCCCTGGGGGTCACTACTCAGAAGGTAGCCTAAGACACTGCTTCTCACACTTGGCTGCACATTAGAATTGCCTCGGGTGCAATTCCCCAAGTTTTGGGAATTTAAAAATTCCCAAAGTCCAGTTCACACCCAAGACCAATTAAATCAGAATCTCTGGGAATGGGACAGTTTTTTTAATTCCTCAAGTGACTGCAGTATTCAGCCAAGCTTGAGAGCCAGTGATCTAAATAAGTACTGAATTAAAACCCCAGGGGACCTGGTAGGGTAGGGAACCAAGAGATGGGAAAGAGAAGAAAGGAGAAAAGGGAAGGTGGGAGGAAGGCGAGGGCGGGGGAGGTACACAAGGGAGAGCCGTCAATGGCCTGGCGAGATGTTTCAGGATGTCTGGTGCAGTCCGCAGGATCTCCCTTCGATTTGATGCTGAGAACTTGATGGGTGTTTCATATGTGATGCCTGAAATAATGGGGCTATTTAAAGAGAGCATCTAGTTTAAAGCATGAAACAGTGGCTCAGACTGGCAGGACTGCCGGGGGGACGGCCCTATGGGTGACATTAATGCATCTGCTGCTTTCCACTCAGGAACTAGTGATCTGAGCACCCAATCAATAACAGTGCCAGGTGACTCAGTGGGTACCAAGCAGATGGAGACCTTGCTGCTTGGGGTGTTTTCCTTTGCCAGAAACAGGTGACAGACTTGGCCCCTGGGGATCACAGATGCAAAGGAGATGGGGTCTACCAGACAAGACTCAGTCACCACATCAAAGAGGCATGTCTGCCGGAGTGTGGGCTAGAGGCTGCAGACCTTTTCATCTAGGGCACCGGCTTGATTCTCACGCCCGAGGGTGTTTGTGTGGGTGTCTGTTTTGGGGTGGGGGAGGCGCCAGGTGCTAGAGTTGGTGATCTGTGTCCTTGGTCCCATAGGTACCCATCTCCCATAGGTACCCATCTCCCTCCCCCACCCAACTCCCTGCCTCGTATCTTCACCTGGCCTCCAGGACACCACGGTCTCTTGGTTGTCCTTCTACCTCCTCAGCTGCTCTTTTTCGGTCTCTCTGTGCTGGCTCTTCCTCATCTCCCTAACCTTGAACTTGAACCACTGGAGTCCCCCAGGCCTCAGTCCTTGGACCTCTTTTCTATCTATATTCACACCCGTAATGATTTCATTCAACTTTAAAGCTTTAAAGAAACACTGAAGGCTCCCAAATTGATACCCCCAGCATAGACTTCTCTCCTGAACTTCAGACTCATATCCTTTTCAACGTGGCCATTTGGATGAGGCATCTCAAATTTAATATGTCCATGAGCCCCTCAACACTCTGACATCAATCAATCAATGCCCCCCCCCCAAATGTTTTCCCTATAGCCTTTCATTTCAGTAAATGGAAACTCTTCTTACAATTGCTGAGGCCATAGCCTTGTAATGTTCCTTCATTCCTCTCTTTTTTCATATCCCACATTTGATCTACAAGGCAACTCAATGAATTCTTTACAAAGCTCCCTAATCCTTCTGCTGTGCACCCACCTTTGGGAAGTTGCTTTAAATCACGTAGGCAGTTGCCTAAGCTGCTAATATTCTGTTTTGGTTTGGGATGAGGTCACTCATGGGATGAGCACCTGTAGGGATTCCAGCAAAAATGAGGACATCTCCCTGTGCCCTATGAAATGGGGTGGTTAGGGCAGACATCTGACCTCAGGGAACAGAGGGTGGCTCAGGCTCTCCCTGCCCATGGAGGCTGCGGGAGTCTGCCCAGATCCCCGGGGTGGAGCTGTTATTTCAGCACGAGGGTGCCCAACACCTCCTGTGTCTTCAGGAGGAGTTCTCTGTAGGTCTTGCCTTGGAGGTGGAGAGGTGGGTGATTGAGTGGTGAATGCAGAAGCACTATCCTGATTGGCAAGTCTTTCACCCAATAGTGACCAATGTGACTTCACACTGCCACACCACAGTGGGTGGGATCAGGGTCCCCCCGCCCAGCACACAGTGGCCCTCTCATTTTAGCTCTGGCCTGAGGTGGGGGGTGGGTGGGGGTGACATTTATCTGGCTTCAGCTTCCTGCTCACAGGCACAGCTTTGATCCTGTCTTTTCATCTTCTGGTCAAAGGCTCCCCAGGGCAGGCAGGGGTAGGGATGGGGAGAGCAAGTGGAAGGAGCGGACTCTGAATTCAGGGAATCTGAGGGAAAGATGTGAGACACGTTGAGGCAGGAAGCAACCGGGCCTTGGGAGAGACCCAGGGGGCAAATCTCTGGGAAGGAATGTGCAGTTATCATCACCATCCCTCCTGGAGGCTGAATTCCAAGACCTGCCCTGCTGGATTTCAGGGATGCTTTGGGTGGGAGGATGCTGTGGTATTAGCCAGCACCTTTCTGGGACAGAGGGTTGAGCAAGACAGATATGGCTTCATCTCTTGGGTCAATCACTAACTGGTAGGAAACATTACACAAATGATTATTTCAACTGCATTGCTATGAAGGATAAGGCCAGGTTACTATTAAGTGGCTAATATCTTATAGTGGCTAATGTCTCATGGGTAAGTGTCAAAAGTTGACCCATAAGACATTAGCCACATCTCATGGTAGAGGCAAACTATCTCATGGGCTGAACTCCTCCAACCAAGCTTTTCCCAGGAACCTCGTCATTCTTCCATTCAACACATT